GCAGGAGTCTCAGCGAGGTGCGGTGCAGTGTGTAGCTGGGACTTCTGCCCCAGAGGCCCTGTCACCCTGTGACAGCTCAGTGGCTTCCAGGAAATGAGCTCATGGCCCCTGTTGAGTCTCCAATTTCTGTTTTTCAGAAGTCATCCAGCCCACCAGGTGTCTCCCCCTTCCCTGCTCAGAACCTGAGCTGAATTGGCTCAGGGGCAGCGGGGGGGGGGATGGGGAGCAGCCCCTCACCCTCTAGCCAGGGTGGTGAGTTCTAAAAATGACCAGAAGTCTTGCATTCCAGCACCCACCGTGAGCCAACTTCTGAGGCCCTCCTCAAATTCAAAATGGAAACTGATCAATCAGAGCCTAGACTTTGATGCCTTCGTATCACTTTTTTCCTCAAAAGAAAGAAATAAATGATCAGAATTCAGCTGGTTATGTAGAAGCACGAGTCTCCCAAGTGAGGATCAGCCCCGTGGGGTGGGTGAACAAGTGGGACTCACTCCTGTGCGCACAGAGCCAGATGCTCAAGGAGTCCTTGAATTGCTGATAAATCTCTTCCTGGGGTTCATAAACCCCACGAGGGGCCTGGTAGGAGAGTTTAACAGATAGAGCTGATGAGTAAAGATTCGCACTGTGTCTGTGAGTGTCCTGTGCAGTTCACAATAAAAGAAGCTTACCCAGTGTTAGGACGTTAGCCTCTGAAGCCCGGGCTCCCCTGCCAGGCAGCTCAATTAAAGCGAGTGGTATTGACTTGGCCCTTGGCTGAGCCGGCTGCTCCAAGGATTTGCATTTCCCCAGCAGAGCTGTTATCACAGACCTTCCCAGGCCCCGCAAAGTCCTGTCCACTCGACAGGCAGGCGAGCTGCTTTAGAGACTGAGTGATAAGGACAGCAGAGTCTCATCAGATCCACAGAATAACAGAGAGCAGGCAGAGTCGGGGGTGGCTCACTTCAGGAGGGAAAAAAGAGAAATGGGATCAGAGAAGTACTTTCAGTTTCTACCCGTGCCATCAAGGTGAATGACCCTCAACCACACACACACACACATACACACACACACACACACACACACCCCACACACAATGAATTCCTTTGGATCCTGGTTTTCACAAGGAAATTGGAAGTCCAACCAGTTTCTAAAGGGATAATACAGGATAGTGGTTAAAAACACAAACCTCAAATCAAACAGGCTGGGGTCCAAATGTTCACTCCATCACTTATTAGAAATGTCTTGGGCAAGTTATGTGACCTTCCTGGGTGTTGGTGTCCTCAGTTATAATGTGGTATGATTATGGAACGTATTTCATAGAGCTGCGAGGCTTACGTGTGTGTTTGTAAGTGTGTGAGAGAGAAAGAGATATATAGTTATGGTTCTACTCAAAGTTCACCCTCAATAAGTAACACTTATTATTTGTATAAAACAAGTTTTGAATAATTGATCTCTCCAATAAAAATTCCTCCTCCAACTATAAAATCGGGAGGGTGGGGGAAGTTGGGGATTCTATAATGGCCAGAGTTTATGAGTTTACTAGAGGCTAATGACAGAGAGGAGATTGTGATTTCTTGAGAGATTTAAAATTGTGATTTTCACTAAGTGGTAAGCATGGCCACAGTCTTCATTCAGTGTATCTGGGCACTGGATTCTAGAGCCTTCCTCGCAAGCAGTCTGCCATTATGAACATACTTTTCATACATTTTTATAAAGTTGTATGAGAAACAAGAGTGTCATAAATGTACGTCAGATGAATTTGGATGAGAAAGGATCAGTCGTTTTTGTAGAAGTTGCTCCCAGAGTGCTGGTTTTTCTTCATGATGTACAGAGTGAAAACCAGTATTTATCCATCCTCGCCCCTGACTGGCCTGAAGCTGGATCGTTCTTCTGGAAGTTTCCGCAGAAAGAATCTGTACCCTCAGGGTCACCCTATTTCCCCAGAACCAGCCTGAACTCCACAAGGGTACAAAGGAGAACCCAGCAGCAGTCAAAAGAAGCCGACTGTGTGGCATTCCTCCTGCACCTCCTACCATTTTGGCCATTCACATTTTCTTCTCCAGGGCTTTTCCTTATGGTTGAGGGATCCCCATGCTTGGTGTAAAGGGCTTTCATGCATGGGCACTTTTAACAGCATGACCAATTTGTCTCTTGTCCATGCAGATCCAGTAGTGCAACAAGAAACCCTGATATGGGCAGGCGAGACTAAGCTGAAGAGGCCAACCCGAGAGAGAAGAAACTTCGTCTCCTCCTCACCACTGATGATGACAGCTGAGAACACCCTGGAGAGAGCCAGAAAGGGAGACCCAAGTGCTCTTTCCCAGAATGAGCCACATTCAACCCCAACCCAGACTTTCCAAGGAATGAAGAGTTCTCAAGTGCTAAGTGAGCCCTTGGGGCCACCACTCATGCCCGCCATCATGGGGGGGCCAAGGAGGTCACCCTTTAGGTTCCGGGATGAAGATTTCTATTCCGTTATCTCGTTAAATGCTGGGAGAGAAGAGGAGGACACTGAGGAGGAAGTCCGTGTAGAAGAAGAACTTCTGTTGGTTGGTATGCGCTCACCCCGTTCTCCCTCCAACCATAAAAGAAGTAGATTTCTTGGGACATCAGTTACTCAGACCAAAAATAAAAATTCGGAAGAAAACCCTGAACATTGCAGAGGTAATTCTTTAAGAAGGAGCGAGCCCAGTCATGGCTCGTTAAGAATAAGCAACGCAATGGAGCCATTGCCTACAAGGCAGTTTTCTCTAGGGCAAAGGATGTTCCAGGAGCCCAAACTACCTGATGGGGAGTCTGTTAAAGGCAGGGACAGTGGGGGAAGTGAAAATGAGCAAAAGCCCTTCCACTCGGTGGACACCAATTCTGAACCCAGACAAGATGGTGGTCTCAATGCTGAAAATGTACCTAGTGATGGCATTTCTGTGGAAAACAGGTCTGGTATCCATGATTACGAAAGAGATTGGCAAGACTATTTAAATAGTTCCAGAAATTCTTTTGACCACTTACTTTCTGCTAGACCAACAGCTTCGAGATCCTCCATGAATTCATCTTATTACACTCCTGGATCATTAACGCATTTTGCTCTGAGAGATGAAGTTCCAATAGACTTGTCACTGTCACCGACTTTAGGTCACAGCTCAAGTTCAGAGGGAAACTCAAGGTTCAATGTTCGCCGGCCATTGTCCCCTATCAGAAATAGGAATCCACTTGCCAGTGCTGAAAACCACCCAGTGAACTCTGGACATGAATTTGATGTCAGGGGAGCCGAGGACATTACTTTCACAAGCCTGCCTCAGGGGGCTCCGTTATACACAGAAGTTCTCTTCACAAATCCTCAAGGCAGCTTGTCCCCGGCGCATCCTCCTAGTTCCTCTCCATCAAGAAGGAACGTACAAGGTCACTTGCATGTGCCTGGGTCCCTGCAGGAAAATATACCTTTTACTTTCTTTGCAGTGTCTGATTTCTCAAATCAAAATGATAACGGCCGCAGTATGGCAGTATCCAGGTTCCCAGATGTAAAGGAGGCCACTGAGATAAAGACAGACCCAGAGAAACTCAAGAAATTGCAAGAAAGGTGAGGAAGTTTCATAATTACAGATATAAACACACTTACTCTTTTCCATTCCTTCCAATGCTGAAATAAATATTGCTTTCATTAGAGTGCCATGGGAATTTTATCTAAATCAGAGGTAGACCGTTCCTTGACATATTAATGATTGCTTACTTTGAGGAAACTGTCCCTATTTTGATGCTCTTAGAATATAGGTGTGGAAAAAGAAAAGTTTGGTGTTTCTGCTCAATATCTTTAGTATTCTTAAAGTGTGTGTTTTTTTGTTTTTTTGTTTTTTCCCTTGAACACTATAACTTTAAGAAAGGAAAGTTGGCTAGATGTAATGGATTCTGATGTAGAGTAGGGCTGGCTTTTCTCCCCAGCAATTAGGAACCAGGATTTTTCATGAAAAGGTTGTTATCTCCCCAGAGAACGAACCATTCAGCACTTGAAGTTCACAGCTCCCTGTTGGGACTTATCGCAAATCAAACCAACAGTTCTAGAATTTGAACCTTCCAAACGGAAGATGGTTCCCAAACAGTTACCATAGTTACCTGGGTCCTCAGAAGGGCCGGGTTGAGGGAGCCCCTGCCTCCATCTTATGTGTTCTTTCTTATGCACAAAAGAGAGAAAAGCGAGACCTTTTTTGAACTGCCCTTTCCTTTGATCTTTCCTTTCTCCTGAGGTGATTTGGGGGATATTTCACAGCTATGAAATGGGATACTCTTTAAAGCTATCATTAAATAGTGTGTCAGAATTCTACCATTTCATTTATGATAGGTGTTTACTGTCCCCTAATCTAGGCCTACCGATCTGGAAATTGTGATTCTCGGGAATGGGAATCCTCTTTGTGCCTGTTGGTTTGGCTCATTCGGGCCATTAATTATCCTATGGATATTCATTTGTAAGCAGAAAAATTGCCTGACAAGGAATTAAAAATGAAAAAAGGAGGGGGAACCAAAACACAGACTACATATCTATTCCTCTGCCTCTTTAACTCCAGAACTAGCTTTCTGGTTTTCCGTGATAAACAAGGCCAAGAAACCTCGCCCCACCCATCCTCACCTACCTGAGCCAACAGCTTCAGATATGCTGGTCTGAACACTGGATGCCACCATCCCAAAGCGATGCAGTTGGGCTCAAAGTAATCATTTTAAATGCATGGACTTCTAGGCCTGGTGATGCATTGAACAGCTCTTGTTCACGGGATACTTGCTTTATCAGATGGTTCTGTTTTCCTGCATGTAACAGACCTTATATTTTTCTTATTATTTCCAAAGTGTCCATTTTAGGAAATACTTTAGAATAAAGACTTAAAAGGAAAACACCTATAACCCTATCATGCTGAGATAAGCACTGTTAAAAATTGCAACTTTTAGTGAACATTGGTTCATATTGTTTTAAAAAATATCTTATTTTGCTATTTTAAGCCATTTCTCAATACCACTTAACACTGTTAAAATGCTTTCCTCCAGTGTTAGTTACATGAATACATAAAAATAAGTATATAATATGTATACACTTTGGAGAATTTTTTTTAACAGAGAGAGAGAGAGAGAGAGAGAGAGAGAGAGAGAGAGAGAGAAGAGCCCCAGACATCCCTGTGCCCACCTCCAGCTAACAGAACCTTCTTGACGTGCTGGAGCGCTCAAGAGCACCACGCCCACCGGATCTCCTGGTCTCCCTCCTCACTTCCCCACCCCCTGACCTCACCTGCATTGTGTTAGTGGTTCCTTTGGATTCTGTCTTATCCTGTTTGGGACTTTTTGCTCAATGCTCTTCCCATACGTGTATGTGCGTTGCTAAACTCTATAGAACCGTTCCTACCCTTTTTCGACTCTGTAGAAATGGAATCTCTGTTCTTCTGTGACTTGCCTTTTCCCCTCACAGCATCTGTGAGATGCATCCTTTTTGGTATCTGGGGCTTTCATTTGTTCCCTTCACCACAAGTGGCACAAAGTGTTTGGGTGTGTGGATACACCTGTTCTCCTGTCCACGGTCATGTGGGCTGTTCACTGTTTTCTGCCAACAACGTTGCTTGAGCATCCTTGTGAATGTCTCCTGGTGCACGGGGGAAGAGTGCTCTGGGATGTTTATCTGGGAATGCAGTTTCTGGGCTGGCAGGTGGCACTTTTTCCCCTGTACTAAGTAATGCTCCTCTACGGTTCCACCCGCAGTATCCAACTTGTGCATCCTTGACAATTCTTATGCTGATTAGCTTTTCAAATTTGCCAGTCTGAGGGGAATAGAATGATATTGTGGCTTCAATTTGCATTTTCATGACTGTTAATGAGGTTAGGTATTTTATGTGCTCTCTTAAATGTTAAATGACCATTTGTGTTTCCTTTTCTGTGAAATACTTGTAAGTCTTTATTTTTCTTTTTAGAATATTTGTATCTTATTTTAGGAGTCCTTTATATATTCTAGCTACTGATCGAATCCCTTGACGTTAAATATTGGAAATACCCCCTCCCAACTTCTAGTTCATCTTTTTCCTTATTATGTCTTTTAATGAAATTTATTTATTTATTTAGTACCAGGGATTGAACCCAGGGGTGCTCTACCACTGACCTCCACCCCCCTCCCTTTTTAGTTTTCATTTGGAGACAGGGTCTTGCTAAATTGCTGAGGCTGACCTCAGACTTGCACTTCTCTTGCCTCAGCTTCCTGAGTGGCGGGATTACAGGTGTGCATTACCATGCCCGTCATGAAAGGAGATTCCTAATTTTAGTGTAGTCACATATGTCCATCTTCTTTGTGGATTGTGATTGGTACCTTGTCCTGTTGAAGGAATCCTTCCCTAACCTGACATCATCATGACGTTCTTCCTATTTTCTTCTGAAATCTGTTTCACTTCGTACATTTAGGACTCAATGTGAATGGGGTTGTGGATTTAAATGGGAAATGGCTTTAATATGTGGTGTGAGGTGAACTTTATACTTTGCCCTGTGAACATGCCATCATCCCAGGATTTTCTCTGCACAGCCTCTTCTGTGGTGCACAACATGCCATACACGTATGAATCTGATTCAGGGCTCTTCTTTTTGTTCCATTAGTCTTTTTTGTCTTTCCCTAATTTAATACTGACTGTCTTAATATCCACTGTTTTTATTGGTTTTGCTGAGTGATGGTGCAAAGCCTCCCTTTCCACATTGTTTTGTTTCTTCGTTTCTTGTTTTTTTGTGTTTTTTTGTGTTTTTTTTTTTTTTTTTTGGAGTGGGGTGGGTTCCAGAGATTCAGCCCAGGGCCGCTTAACCACTGAGCCACATCCACAGTCCTTTTTATATTTTATTTAGAGACAAGGTCTCCCTAAGTTGCGTAGAACCTTGCTAAGCACTGAGGCTGGCTTTAAACTTGGATCCTCCTGCCTCAGTCTCCAGAGCCGCTGGGATTACAGGCGTGAGCCACCATGTCCATGCAATTCTTTAAAGACTTCTTGACTATATACTTAAGAGTCTGCTTGTTAGGATTTTTATTACAATTACATTGAATCTACAGGCTATTGGGAGATCGACACCTTTGAGATATTGTTTGGTTCTTTGATAAACATGGTATGTTTCTCCTTTTGTCTTTAATATCTTTTATGTAGTTTTTAAAATTTTTTTTTTAGTTGTCAATGGACATTTATTTATTTATTTATATGTGGTGCTGAGAATCATACCCAGTTCCTCATGCATGCTAGGCAAGGACTCTACCACTGAGCTACAACCTTAGCCCTCTTTTACGTAGTTTTGTGATTTTTTTCTTGATAAAAGCCTTTCCATTTATCTCTAGGTTCTTTTATTTTCTGTTTATTATTAAAACAGTATTTTAAATTATAATTTTAAATCTTTTTGTTAGTGTATACAAATGCAATTGACATATTTTTTCTGTATTTTTGCTAATCTTTCTTATTCATTATAATATATAGCTATAGCTTTTTTGGTTTTTTTCATGTAGAAAATAACTTCAACCACCATTTTGTAAAAATCCTTTTTCTCTATACCCTTGCCAATTCCCGAGTTTTTATGTTTGTCAAATGATTAGCCAAAAATTATAATCAGTTTAATTTGCAAATTTTATGCTTATTAGTGATGTTGAACTTTTTCCATGTTTATTGTTAATTTGCATATCTTCATTTGCCATTGCCTGATCTTGTCTCCTATCTACATTTTTGGGGGAATGTTAATATTGTTTTTACCTCCTAAAATATACCAACATTCTATATAGAAAATCAATAGTAATGCTCTGCCAAATATCAGGCATATACTTTTTCACTTTTTCCATTTTATTTACTTCATATTTTATGTGCATGATGTTTTTTTAAATATGCATATTTTTAGTTGTTGATGGACCTTTATTTATTTATTTATATGTGGTGCTGAGAATTGGATTCAATTCAAAATATGCAGGTTTAAGATACTTACCTATGTCAGAAAGTGCTTAGCACAAAGCAAATTCCTACTACATGGGAGCTATTCTTAAATTCAGATGATGTGCAATTTGAAGTGGGGTTCTGATGTCTGTTTTTGCTTTTTTTTTTACATTTAACCAGTTGTCCCACAACCATTCATTCTATCCTTCCCTTCCTGATCTGAAATGCCTTCTTGGCTCATACAATCTCTGTCAGTCTGTTTATGGACTTTTGCGTCTGTTCTGTCAATCTGCCTGAAATACTGCATCAATTATACACTTTTTATTTATTATAAATTTAAGGATTTAAAAATATTTGCTATAGTAAATTTCCTTTTGTTATCTTTCTTTTAAAAGTTTTTATTGCCCATCTTAATTTTTTGGGGGGGAGACAGTACCAGGAATTGAACTCAGGAGCACTCAACCACTGAGCCACATCCCTAGCCCTATTTGTATTTTATTTAGAGACAGGGTCTCACTGAGTTGCTTAGAGCCTCAATTTTTGCTGGGGCTGGCTTTGAACTCTCGATCCTTCTGCCTCAGCCTCTTGAGCTGCTGGGATTATAGGTGTGCACCACCGCACCCAGCATCCATCCTAATTTAATTGCATTGTGATCTGCAGTTTTTGTGCCCCAATACATATTCAACATCTACAAATATGCCATGGCATTAGGGAATGTTGCATATCCTCTGTTCTCTCATGGTCTGTACGTACATGTAAAATACAGTTTGAAAAGTTTGCCATCAGAATTCTTCCTTCTTCCTGCTGGGCATGGTGGCACACCCCTGTGATCCCAGCATTTTGGGAAGCTGAGGCAGGAGGATCAGGAGTTCAAAGCCAACCTCAGCCATGGTGAGGCACTAAATTACTCAGCAAGACCCTGTCTCTAAATAAAATACAAGAAAAGGCTGGGGATGTGGCTCAGTGGTTAAGGGTCCCTTAGTTCAATCCCGATATCACTTCCCCCCCCAAAATTCTTCCTACTTCCGTCAGCAACTTAGCAAGACCCTGTCTCAAAATAAAAAATAAAAAGGGCTGGGGTATGGCTCAGTGACTGACCGAGCGACCCTGGGTTCCATCCCTGGTTTAAAAAAAAAAAAAAATCTTCCTAGTCAATTATGTTCTTTTGAATTTGTCAATTTCTGAACGTTATTTATTAAAACCTTCCCATATGATTTAGATTCACCCATCCTCCTTTATCTTTATAAGAATTTGGCTTTTATTTAGCACATTAAGGCTCATATTTTCTTGGTGGATTGGTCAATATTACCTTTACACTTTTAGCTGAGTTACATTTTGTCTATCAATATCGCGGTGCTACACCTGGAATTTCATTTTGCTAATCATATATTTTTTTTAATTCCCCAGAAATTCTTCTTATCTCTCATTGGTCCTTTCCCAGAGCAGTGGAATCCTCCTGAGAACTAATCCCCCGTTAGCTGACCCATTCATTTCTTGCAGGGTCGGCAGGCTCTTCTTTCTTGTCTCCTCTCCTCTGTGCTGCTGATTTCCACATGTGACAGGTGATCCCAGCAGTCCATGAAGGAAGGAGTGGCTGGTTCAGCATGGAGGCAGCCAACTCAGTTGTCCCACAGCTGTGCCTTGCTTCCTCGGCAGCCCTCTTCCCTGATTCGAAGGCTTTGTGTGATCGGGGATGCTCATGAACTTGTCTGTAAACTCAGGGCTGTATGAGAGTTCCCTTTCTATAGCACTCAGCTCCGGGGGGTGCCCGGGCACAGGCACTGTTGCTGGGCTGCCCAGAGGAACCGGCCCTCTGTGCTGAAGCAGGTCTTGAGCTAGTTATCCTCATAACTGCCCTGCCCGTGAACTTGTGCACCCCAGGCTGGGGACTGTCTGGGTCAGCTCTTCTCCACGGTTTTCTACTGCAAGCAGGTCTGGTACTCACCTCTGCTTCTACTGTCCTAGGATTCTCCAATATTTCTGGCCCGCTGGTCTTCGGGCACTGTTGTGGATTCGTTCTGTGTAATTATCTTTTTAAGAGATTCGGGTGGGAAGGGAGATCCATGGGAGTCCTTTGCCTGCTGTCCTAAGAGCAAGCTCAACTTTCTAAAACAGTGTGCCCCGAACAGAAGGGAGTGCCCCACACTATTAGTGTGCAGTCACTTTGGGGTGATGACTTCATGTCTGACCTCTTTTTCTTTTTCTCTCTCTCTTCTTCACTTTTGTGAACGTATGTATTTTTTCTCAAAATGTAGTAGCCCATGGATTCCCACTAAGACCTTTGAGAAGACAGGAGAGCTTACATTAGGAGTCAGGCATTTATAAACTATATATATATATATATATATATGTACAAAAAAATTAATCACAGAGCCAAATGCAGTGGTGCACCCCTGTAATCCCAGGAACTTGGGAGGCTAAAGTAGGAGGATCACAAGTTGGAGGCTAGCCTGAGCAATTCTGTGAAACCTTGACTTAAAATTTAATATTGAAAAAATAAAAATGGCTGGGCATATAACTCGGTGGTTAAGCCCTTGGTTCAATCCCCAGTACCACCTCCCCCGCACAAAAATTAAACACAGAGCCCTTGATCCTACTCCTTAGATCGGTGGTCTTCAGACCTGAGTGACCATCAGACCATTCAGATTCCAGGGCCCAAATATCTTTGCTTGCATTTCCATTTATTCTATCTTATCAAACACCAGCAGCTTACATTCTGAAATGTGGACTCACTTGCTGGCAAGAGTTGTTATTGGTGAGCTCTCGTCCAGGTTTGTGGGTTCATCACTTCTCTGAACCAACACCTATTGAGCACAACACCTCTGGCCACAAATGTTTCGCCAGGCACTGGACGCACCTGAAGTTCCGTGTCCCGGTCGCCAGGCACACAGCCTGCCCAACCCTGCCAAGCCGGCTACAGTAGTGCTACCCTCACCCCTATCACAGATCAGGAAACGGGATGCTGGGGAAATCAGGAGCTCATCCCAAGGTCACATGACTTCATCATTTCAGAGGCAGCCTCAAGCCCGGGAGCCCTGAGCATCAATCCCACAAGTTTACACGCCTGGACGTGACGTTGGGCACCACAGCCTCCTCACAACGGCTGAGGCAGGGAGGGGCTCCTGGATTTGCGCTTCCCTTTGTTTTTGTTCCTGGTTTTGGTGTTTGGTTTTGCCTGCTGGGGTGGAATCTGGGGCCTCAGGCCTGCGGGGCAAGGCCTCACCCTGGCTTCTTGGTTTTGCTGGCCGTGGGCGTGCTGGTCCTGTGGGCTCACGCATCTCAAGAACTATAAAGAAACCTAATATAAGAATTTGTGCATCGATTATGCATAACCCCATCTAGAGGAATGAGCCCCAGGGTGACCAAGGGTGAGCCCCAGGAGCAGGCGGGCAGGACGTGGGGCGATTGTTCCTTTTTGCTTCCCCCCTGAATGCCCTGGGAACTGGTATCTGCAGAAACTGCCAATGTGGAGACTCTTGGTCACGAGGCCGTGTTTTCCATTTAGTCTCCTGGAGGAGGACTCCGAGGAGGAGGGAGACTTGTGTCGCATCTGTCAGATAGCCGGGGGTTCCCCCGCCAACCCCCTCCTGGAGCCCTGCGGCTGTGTGGGAAGCCTGCGGTTCGTCCACCAGGAGTGCCTGAAGAAGTGGCTGAAGGTGAAAATAACCTCAGGTAGGTGGGGGGGGACGCCCCCGTACAATTAACCCGAGACACCCCCGCACGGGCCTCGGAGCCTTGCCCACTGCTCACTCTCGGGGAAGCATGGCCAGGCCCAGGATTCTTGCTCATAAATGCTGCCTTCAAATTACGGGAGGGAAGCAAATGTTTTTCAAGTCTGTGGAAAGAATCCTGGAAACACTTGCTTACCAAACCCTTCTCCTGCTTGAGACCTGAGCAGAGATGCTAAGATCGCCTCCCCCGAGGAGGGAGACAGAAGAATCAGGTCAGGGGTTGAAGCTCAGCAAGCAGAAGGTGGCCGTGTCCACCAGTGGACGCTGTGCAACAATAATTCAGAAAGTCCCCCAGAGAGACCCCCAAACACACACGCTTTCACTGGGGAAGGAGGATGGGTGGCACCTAAGATACCAGGCAAAGCTGTCTGTTGGCCACAGGGGTAAGGAAAGAGAGTTGATCTGATCTTCTAGAAACATAGCAGATAAAGAGAGCTCCATGTGCTGCCTTTGTAGGTTGATCTTATAACCAGGTAAGAAACCCTCTGTGTTTTTTGAGGGGTAGGGGTGTGTGTGTGCCAGGGATTGAACTCAGGGGCACTCGACCACTGAGCCACTTCCCCAGCCCTATCTTGTATTTTATTTAGAGACAGAGTCTCACTGAGTTGCTTAGCGCCTCACCATTGCTGAGGCTGGCTTTGAACTCTCAATCCCCCTGCCTCAGCCTCCAGAGCCCCTGGGATTACAGGAGTGCACCACCGCATCCAGTTTGAAGCCCTCTCTTGACTCCCCGGGGAGGGTCTATAACCTCAGTCCTCATCAGTAGATTTACTTTTCTTGGCAGAGAATGGGTTTCTTTAAAAATGGCTCTAAGAATGACCAAGAAGAAAAAATTTAAAAAAAAAAGGATTCATCAATGCAAGCAACTCAATTAGAAAACAGATGCTCTTTCACCCTCACCTCTCTGAAAGCTTTACTCCACAGCCAGATCCCTTTGCTCTCTGCTTCCATGTTCTGATCACTATTTCAGGCTACCGAGGAGACCTCGCACTCTGCTCTGGCCCCAGGCCTGTTGCCATGCTCCCTCACCAAGGACAGCACACCATTTAACTAGAGAGCGAACACCCAGGATAATCATAGTAACTGCCTCTTTCCTGCAGCTCTGTTTCCATGTGTGCCTCTCCTCCTCACATGAGAAACACAGGCCCACTCCCAAGATGCTTAAACGCATGTCCACACAGCAAGCAAAGATTCAGTCCAGAGCAAAAAAAAAAGTGGATTTCGGTTGCTAATGACTCGGCCAAACAATGCTTTCTCTTACTAGAAATTTAAGCCAATTAAACATCTATCACAGGGAGAGGGGGAAAAAAGACCCATGAAATGTGTTATGAAAATGATCTTAAATGCTCGTAAATGCCGATGCTCGTATGAGTATGTTCAGCAGGATTAGGTTGGAAGGCACATGGGATGTTCTGTAGCCAAAAGCATCACTGAATGGTGCTAAAAAAGAAAAATCAAGCAAACAAAATGGAGATAAGGGATTACTGTGCATCCTTTACCCTTTAAAAGTCTCTATTATTTACTATTTCTTTATATCCCCAGTGGGAAAATAGAAGTGGGGTATAAACCTGTACAAGCCCTAATTAGTAAACACATGCAGATAACCAGTAAGTCCTCTGCTTTTGGATGCATAAAATAAACACTGGTAAATCATTGGTCTAAATGCAGCAGCTACGCT